AGGCCTCAGCTGTTCGTGATGTAACGCTGAGCTTCACAGGCTGGCTCGTGACGGTGTTGTTGGTATGGCAGTTCGTAGTGGGTGTCGGCGCTCGAGATCAAGAGGGAGCACTTCGGGCATTGTCCATGGCATTTGTGTTAGCTAGGGCAGCTGGTGATGGTAGAGGAGCTAATGTAGTGATTATCTATGTAATAGTAGTGGTAGGAAGGGTATGGAGTACTGAGCATTATGCGAGTAGATACCAGTTCAACCATGGCAGTTTGGGCAGCAGGAGGATATTTTATCGATAGGATACAAGAGTAGTATTATTGCTAGTGGTGGAGATGCATGAATTTACCATGCTCACAGGCTCACAGCTGTTGCAGTCGGTACAGGATACAGTACAGAGGTTGGAGACACAGCATCCTGGGGTTAAGGTTACGCTTAAAATGGGTAACCCAACTGATAGGATGCATGTACAGGACGAGTTGCTGTCCACGGCTGAGAGAAATGGCAGTGAGTTTTTGGGGTCTGCTAGTTGCAGAGAAATTAATTCTTGTCGGCTGGTCGAATAAGGTCTGTTGTGGTAAGGGGTTGGTCGAGAGAGCTCTCGATGAGGGGGCAGGGTTATGAGTATTCACATCGCGAGTCGGCTATGAATTGATGGTGTAGCGGTATTATGTATGAACCTAACGATTTCAACCTCACGCGATTGTGATATCGGCACGCTCCCTGCTAGTGAGGTTGAAGGAATCGTCGTAGAGCTCGGTCACGGGTTGCAACTGTATAGCAATAGTGCGTGGGAGCATATATTAGGACCTATAAGCACACGACAGAGTCTTCTTATATGTCAGTAATACTCAAGCCTACAAGCCCTCCCACTTCACCAACTCTCAATGGGAATCCGCTATCACCATCACAATCCCCACCGATCCTTGTAGTGGGAGGTGGCCATAACTCGGATTGTGGAGAGCTGGGTTCGGTCACCAGTCAGTTCGTGGACAAAGGTAGGCGGCGGCCACTTGTAAGCAACATAATGAGCATTCCTCTATACAGGTCGAAAGAGGTCCCTACAGGGTGTGACGGTAGCTGTGGCTAAGCTAGGATTGGACCCTGGGGGATCGATCCCTACTCAGTTGCATCCATCTGCACCTGTGTTCTCTCGTTTTTCCAGAGCGTGACACGAGTACGGTTCGCCCTCGTCAATTTCTCTTCATCATTTACCCCTCGCGATAGTTGTAGCTTTTTCCAAAATTTTATGTTATACCCAGAATGAGCAAGGTCATTATTTCACAGTCTTCTAATCCTCCGTCCTGTTGTTCTTAGTACCTCGTCCCTCCGTATGGAGATTCTGTCCTCATCAAATTCTTTTTGTATGCTGAGTATCATTGCTGTGGAAGTAGTGGTAGTTCTGAGTCTTATGACTGGAACAGTAGTTATAGTAGTCCGTCTCGCAATTGGCCCTCTGGGGCATGTTGCGTAGTAGTAGTAGTAGCAGTAGTAGTAGTAGTAGTAGTAGTAGTAGTAGTAGTAGTAGTAGTAATAGCAGTATTAGTAGTAGTAGTAGTAGTAGTAGTAGTAGTAGTAGTAGTAGTAGTAGTAGTAGTAACCACTCCTTCTGTGAAATCTAAGGACTTGTCTATGATTGAACGGAAGACGGTCCCAAGGCCGTGAAGGCGAAAGGGGAAACACTAAGTCGAAGTGGGAGGGTACCCTCATGTGGGCTGGCAACTCCATGAGAGAATAACAGCTTCAAGCTCCGAATAATAGAAATAGACAGACCAGATCCTCATCTACGACCCTAGGGGTGAGTAGATTGGTCGAAAATGTTGGCACTAGGGCAGACGAGGAGGAAGACTCAAGTGGTCAACGAATGACGGGTAGACAAAACTACTTGAGAGAGTTGGCAGGGCTAGGTCTTACAAATCGTCAAATAAAGGTGAAGGTGAGAGCGAGGGAGAGGTGGATGCAAAGGAGGAAAGACAAAAAAAGAATGAAAGAGGAGGGAGTAGAAGATGACCAGGATAATGAAGAGAAGAGTAGGAAAAGGAATAGGTCATGTAAAGGGGGATATACTATTGCAACCTGGAATGTAATGTCATTGTTGACTACTGGCGGGCCGTCTGCTGTGGTAAGGGACTTGAAGGACAAGGGAGTAGATATTGCACTGATACAAGAATCCAGGTGGGAAACAGAACAAATGGCATGGAAATGTGGGGACTACTTCATATGGGGTGGAGGAGCATGGAGAAATGGGAATGGATCCAGAGTAGGTGGCGTAGCCATAGCAGTACATCAAAATAGAAAAAAGGATATTATTAAATTCCAGTTAGTGAATGGACGCATAGCATACATGGTACTTAAGGGGAGAGCAGGTAGGAATATAGCAGTGGTATCTGCTTATGGGCCCTACAGAGATGGCAGATGTTGAGGAGAAAGAAGCTTTTCTGGACAGGTATGGGAACTATTATAAACGAAATCAAGGAAATAGATGAGATGGTAGTAGGTGGGGACTTCAATGGGGAAACTGGTGTAGATACAGAGGGGAAGGCACTTGGAAGATGTGGGATAGGAATACAGAATAACAACGGGAAGAGGATGGTAGAATTCTCTGATGAAAATGATTTGAGTATTGTGGCAGCCTCGTTTAAAAAGAAATCTAGGCACAAGGTGACGATGAGAGGGAATTTTCAGACTGAAAATGAAAACAGGAGATATAGAGAGTATGATCATTTTCTAGTAAAACAAAGAGATAAGAGGACTGTTGTGAATATTAAATGTAGGTGGGACACCTATCATCAATCGGATCATGGACTCCGATTATTGTACGTGAAAATTAAACCTTGTAGAACTGAGCGCAATGTAGGCAAAGGTAATATAGCGGAAGCCCTAAGATCAGAGGAGGGAGGGCTTTTAATCAGCAAGGAATTGCAAAGAGAAGACTATAGGGATATCATGGATGAATCTTCGGATATAAACACAGAGTACAGATGGAACAGACTGAAAATAGCAATAGGTATAGGCAGCAAGGGGTATAAAAATGATAATAGCAAGAGGAAGCCGTGGATATCAGATAGAACTTGGGAAAAGATGCGGTTGCGAAACGAAATGATTAAAAAAATTGATCAAGGGCTAGATCAAGTGAGACACCTTGCTGAACTCAGGAAACAGGTGAAGGCTTTACTAAAATTCGACAAGAAAAAATGGTTAGCTGAACAGGCCGAGAAAGCAGAGGCAGCAGCCAGAACTAGTAATATCAGAGAACTATATGCAATTGTGCGAATATTAGGGGGACGGGGACATAAGGGTGTAGACCTAACAGGGATGGACCTCGGTAGCTTTGTCGGGCATTTCAGTAAATTGTTGGGAGAACAAGAGGAAAGAACGATAGAGGAATATGAAACAAGAAGGGCGTACTGCATTGCGAGGGAAATGTCTGAACTAAAAGCGCAAGCATGGGATGTAAATTTGGCCGCTCCAAGTGATGAAGAGATCGAGAAAACATGCAAGAGAATGAAGAACGGAAAAGCAATGGGTATTGATAGGATCCCTTCCGAATTATTTAAACATTCAGAGGAATGTAGAAAAGTGCTGGGAATTATTATAAGAGAATTTTGGCGCGGGGAATGCTTACCAGATGAGTGTCATACGGCTGTTTTAGTGGCATTATTCAAAGGTAAAGGAAGCAAAAAATCACCGGAAGGATATAGGGGAATATCGCTTCTATCGGTGGTTGAGAGAATTATATCGGCAATAATTTTAGAGAGAATTAAAGAATTTGCTGGGGAGAGACTACTGAAATATCAGTTTGGTTTTAGATCTGGTAAGAGCTGTAGGGATCCTGTTAGATTGCTATGGAAAAAGTGGGAGTGCACTCATAAGATTGCCTCGGTGTTCGTGGATTTCCAAAAAGCTTTCGATTCCTTAACATGGGAATCGTCGTGGAGGATACTGGAATCCACTGGAATGCCTAGAAGGTTGGTGAATTTGATAAGGAGAATTTATGAAAATTCCGAAATTGCTATCCGAGTAAGTCAAGAAGGGAAAATGTCTGATAAATTTCCTCAAAAAGTTGGAGTCCGTCAAGGATCATGCCTATCTCCAGTTATATTCATACTTATATTAGACCATTGTATGAGGGCGGCAGTGAAAGCATGTGAGGATAGAGGTATTGTGGTAGAATGGTTGGGGTATGCGGATGATTTATACATCGCGGGAAAATCGTCTGCTGAGGTAGAGTTCTTTCTACAGGAACTCCAAGCGGCTGCGCATTATGTAGGACTAGTAGTTAACGCTGAAAAATCGGTAGTTATGGTTAAGGGGCTGGATGATAGTAGAGTAACTCAGAATAATGAAAGGGAGGAAAGAGTTATGGTGAGGTGGGATGACGGCAATTATGAGGGATGGTTAAGACCTTTAAAAATAAATAGTACCGAGGAAACTTTCAGACCTACTCATGAGATAAAATATGATGACGATACTATAGTCAAGTATATAGTGAAAAAAGCTGGTTGGATACAGGACGAAGAGGGGGACAAACTGAGGATGACGAGATTGGGTTTTGATAGGGTCAGTGATGGTACAGACAAATGGAAATGTACTTCTTGTGGAGCTACATTCCATAATGATAGGGCTCTGAAATCGCATTCCAGAGCAGGCAGGTGCCGGAGTCACACAGACCTTACAATTGAAAAACAAGTAGCTTTGAGAAAAAGTAGGATGGTAGGGAAATACAGAATGGGAATAGTAAATGAGGAAATCGAAGAGGTGGAAATCCGCTTGATTGATGGTCGAAAACTCAAATGTGTGGGGTCTACAGTATACCTTGGTACTTTGCTAACAACAAAAATGAAGCTCGCAGGGGAGGTTGGCCGGAGAATCGGGCGGGCAGTAAGCGTTTTCAATGATTTAAAGAATATTTGGAAATCTAGGGGGATTTCTACGGGCACTAAAAAGAACATCTTTAGAAGTTGTGTGATGAGTGTATTGCTATATAATTCTGAAACCTGGGTTTACGTCAAAATTGATATTGATAGATTACAAAAATGTTGTAATAAGTTGGTCAGTAACATTATAAGATGGGGTAGAAATCGAGATAGCTCAACAGATGAAGATCGTGAGGATAGTACTACGACTTATTGGAAAGTGTCCGAACTAGAAGTTTCGGAATGGTTAGGGGGATATTGTGTCCAAGAGGTGTTAGTCAAAAGCGTCTACGCTGGTTTGGTCATGCCCTAAGACAGCCCAAAGGTATGATTCAAGAGACTGGATTGAATCAGAAATCGAGACTGA